CGATACTTTTTGCTGGTTGTTGATGACTACTCGCGTTACACCACGGTCTTCCCCTTGCGCAGCAAGGGTGAGGTCCCATATGTCTTGATCCCTTGGATCCGCGCTGTCCGTCTCCAGATTCGCGAGCGGTTCGACACGGACCTTCCTGTCTTGCGTCTGCACTCTGACAGAGGTGGTGAGTTTTCCTCTGACCTCTTGCGGGACTTTTGTCGTGGGGAGGGCATTCGCTAGACGTTCGCGCTTACGGCCTCTCCGCAGCAGAATGGGTTGCTGAGCGCTGCATTGGCCTAGTCATGGAGGTCGCTCGTACCTCCATGATCCATGCGGCTGCCCCCCATTTTCTGTGGCCGTTTGCGGTCCGTTACACTGCGCATCAGCTCAACCTCTGGCCCCGTGTCTCCTTGCCGGAGACCTCACCGACACTGCGTTGGACGGGACAGGTTGGCGATGTGTCAGTGTTCCGGGTCTGGGGATCTCGTGCCTTGTTCGCGATACCTCCGCGGACAAGCTCTCCGCCCGCGCCGTTCCCTGTGTCTTCCTTGGTTTCCCCCCTGACGCGCCTGGCTGGCAGTTTTACCACCCCACCTCGCGCCGTGTTCTGTCCTCTTACGACGTCACGTTTGACGAGTCGGTTCCCTTTTACCGTCTCTTCCCCTACCGCACAGCCCCTCCCCCTCCCCCGCCGCCCTTCCTTGCTCCAGGTCCCCATCCAGTAGAGCCCCTCCCCCCTTAGGGTCCTGCTCGTTCAGGTGTGTCTCAGGTAGACCCACTCCCCTTGGTTGAGCCTGTCGAGGTCACTGGTGACTCTGGTAGTGCTGGGGGTGCTGAGCCTGCGGGTGCTGAGCCTGAGTGTGCGGAGCCTGGGGGTGCTGAGCCTGTGCGCGAGGAGCTTGGGGAGGCCCTGGAGCTGTAGGCGCAGGAGCTGGTTACTCGGAAGCTGGAGGTGCTGGAGCTGGAGTTTCTGGAGCTGATGGAGACCCTGGAGCTGCTGGTACTAGTACTGGGGGTGCTGGTGCTGGAGGAGCTGGTACTGGTGGTGTTGCACCGCCGCGTCTGTTCTTCGTTCCGCCGTCACCGTCGTCTCTGCCGCCGCCTGGCTTGGTGCTTCACCAGGTTCTTGGCCTCCCGTCTTCTACTGGTCTCCCGTTACAGCCAGGCTCCCCACTGCCTGCTCCCTCTCCTTACACTGATCAGACAGGAGGTCTTACAGAGCGTCGTGAGCCTGCGTCTCGTCCTGCCTCGCCTGTTCGCGCTGGTCGCACTAGTTGCCGTGTTCCTCATGAGCGTCCTCCTCCTGTCCCCGGCACGCACACTATGGCACTTCGTCCTTCCTCTCTTCCGCACGTTCCGGACCCTGAGTCTGACCTGGTTCGTACTGCCAGTCCTACTATTACGCGTCTCTTAGCCACTGCTGTCACTAACCCTTCGTTTGAGTCTGCTGCGCCTGCCTTAGTCGATGAGCTTGTTGACTTTGCTGCTTCGTCTCGACTACGCCGCTAGTCTTGTTACTGAGTATGAGCCTGTCTGTCCTCTGTCCGTCGGGGGTGAGTGTGCTCTTGGCACGGACGTCCTTGAGGACAGGCAGGAGGACTTTGAGTGTCTTGCAACCGATGTACCTCATCTCGTGGCCATGCTGCTTGCCCCTGAGGGAGTCGGCCTCTTCCCTCCCACCCTTTTTCTCTTCCCTGAAGCCTCTGAAGCAGTCTGCCTCCCGTCACATATTCGTGCGTTGCATGCGTGGTGTGAGCGTGTGCAAGAATTTGTGTTCGATGTGGTTTGGATTTTCTGAATGTGTGTGAATGTTATTTGGCTTGAGCAGATATTTGAAGTGACTCCTCTGCCTATTCCGACGAACCAAGAATCGTCGCGATCGTAGCAAGAACAACGAAGTTATGTTTGTTCGATTTTTTGATTGGGATGCGACGACATTGAAAGTTTGTTGAGTGATTCAATATGGGGTACAGACTTTTGGGGGTTGGGAAATTCGTCCCCATCACTGTAGATGCTGCCAAGTGGTTGTGAAAAGCCAAACCAGGTTGGCAAGTGTAGCAAAGTTGGGGTGAGGTGGATGGCATAGGTTGGGAAAGTGACAAAGGTCAAAGTTGGGGTTCCTATAGGGAGGGAAATTGTGTGGTATGGGGTTTCCTTTGTTGGAGACTCTTTGGGAACCTTTCCCTCACGTCGTTCTCTTCCCTCCCACCCTTTTTCTAGCTACTCTAATTCTCTTGTGTAAAATTGTGAGAACTTTGTGGTTGAGTTAAGTTCCTGTGGCAGCATACCCCCTAGTTCGCCGAAATCGATAACTCAATAAATACTTCACAGTTTTGTACGATTCAAATTGGGAATTCTAGCCACGGACTAGAGCTACAGTATATCTGAAATTAGTGAAGTTTCAATAGTGCAATTCTTGTTGACGGCGTTTCTTGTGAAGTCGACAGTTCTGTCCAGAATTCTAAGCCAACGATTTTGAGATATTTCGGCCCCCAAACGTTCTAGACTCTGTCCTTAATCTCTAACACCTATGTCGACGCAACTCCCCCTCCTTGGGCGAACGTAATCGATGGCATGTAAATTTTCGGGGTGAAGCGGCCGCCGGGTTCTCCGCCTGTCTTCAAGACTCGTTACGTTGCACGAGGCTTCAGTTAGCGAGAGGGAGTTGACTTCTTCCAGACCTTCTCCCCTACCCCGAAAATGATCACTCTTCGGGTGCTGTTGCACGTTGCCGCTCAGCGTGACTACGAGCTTCACTCTCTTTACTTCAGCACAACTTTCCTACAGAGCAGCCTGCACGAGGAGATCTGGCTGCGCCGTCCACCTGGCTTCACTGGGTCGTTTCCTGCAGGTACCCAGTGGAGCCTCCGACGGCCAGTCTATGGTCTCCGTCAGGCGCCTCATGAGTGGCACGACACATTGAGGACGACACTTGCGGCTCTTGGGTTTGCTCCTTCGACTGCAGACCTGTAGTTGTTTCTCCGCACCGACACTTCACTGCCGCCGTTCTACATCCTCGTGTATATCGACGACTTGGTTTTTGCCACTGCTGACACTGAGGGACTTGTCCTTGTGAAGTCGGAGCTGCAGAAGAGACACGCGTGCACAGACCTGGATGAGCTGCGTAGCAATCTTGGCTTGCAGATCACTCGGGACAGAGCACGACGCACCATCACCCTGACTCAGTCAGACATGGTGCAGCAGGTCCTTCAGCGCTTCGGCTTCACTTGGTCCTCGCCACAGTCCACTCCTCTGGCTACCGGTCACTCGCTCTCAGCTCCACCTTCGGACGAGTCCGTAGAGCCGAGTGGCCCGTATCCAGAGCTAGTGGGCTGCCTCATGTACCTGATGACCTGCACTCGTCCTGACCTTGCGTACCCTCTTGGCCTTCTGGCACGCTACGTGGCTCCTGGTAGGCACCGAAAGGTGCACTGGAATGATGCGAAGAGGGTACCGCGTTACTTGTGCAGTACATCGGGCATGGGGCTCGTGCTTGGAGGGCGAGGTCAAGTTGTTCTCACTGGACACTCAGATGCTTCGTGGGTTGACGACCTGACTACGCAGCGGTCGTCTCAGGGTTACTCGTTCAGCCTTGGCTCTGGCTCTGTTTCTTGGCGGTCTACCCGCTCGTCTTCTGTTCTCAGCTCCAATTGTGAGGCTAAGATCTACGCGACAGCCATGGCTGCACAGGAGTTACGCTGGCTCACCTACCTGCTGACCGACTTGGGAGAGCGGCTTCGTTCTCCTCTAGTTCTGTTCGTAGACAACAAGGCTGCAATTGCCTTGTGTCAGGAGCACAGACTGGAGCACAGAACGAAGCACATCGCTCTGCGTTACTTCCTTGCTCGAGAGTTGCAGCAGCGTGGTCAGCTTCGTCTTGCTTACGTGGCCACTCGGGCCAACAGTGCTGATATACGAAGGCACTTCAGCCTTGTGATCATCAGCGCTTTTGTACTGTGTTGGGCCTTGTGCCTGTTTTGCCTCACTTGCTCACTGCTTGACTTTGGTTGTACTGTGACCTATATATATACCTGCATGCTTACACTTGCTAGGTAGTGATCACTGTACTGTTTCTGTATTTTATATAACTCTGCATGTGGACCGGCCCTGTGGCCATTTGCTTGTGCTCAGAGTGTGTGATGACTTGGTGATCCATCCTAAGCTTGCTTTGTTTATCTTGACTAGTCTTGTGACCTCTTGTTCTCCCCCACTTTGCCTATGGGAGTGTGTCAAACTATAATATTGCTTATGTTGTGTAGGCTATAGTGGGATAGCCTATATGGGGTACAACCCAATTAGGGTTAGTACTTGTACTCAGTTTGATGTCAATGCAATCATTCATGTCGTTAGTTTCTGACAGGTATACCACCAAGACCCTACACTACTAGCTAAAACATGCAATTATATAAGAATTCACCATATTCTAACATCCCCCTTAATTGCATGCAGACTAGTTGGTGTAGGTGTCAGAATGTTATGTTGTGTATGCTGTAGTGGGTTACTCAACAGTGACTACAACCCTGTTAGGGTTTCCTAATTGTATCCCACCTGCCTGCTAGTGCAAACCCCTTTTCTTCTGCTTACATTCCTGCTTACTACCCTTGACAGTAGAGGGCGCATCAATCACCGTGCAGCAGCACGGTACAAAAATATCTAGAGGTCCAAAACAGGCACACATTAGCACAAATGATCCCAAAGCAAACCAGAACATAGATTCAACATTGGTTTAGGGTTTAGGGTTGGCAATAGTAAAACCTTCAGTTGAATGCTACAACAGTCTCTTATCAATAATGTCATGTGTTAATACAAAAGTTAGCTACTACCGTACTACAGTCCGTATGGGTGAAGGCTGGCTGGTGCACCTGAGCTTAGCAGCAGACCAAGCCAAATAATAACCCTTATTCCCACTACTGGGTCAACAAAACCAAGTCCGCCTGGATAGTAGGTACGTCACAGGATACTGGAGGAGTTACACACTTGATGAGGCCTTGATCCGAAAACTGCTCCTTTCACCTTGCTGATGTTGACGAGACTAGGGGCTGGCGGACACCAGTGACCGATATGCGGCGCCCAGGAGTTCGACCAAGCGGTTCATTCTTGAAGATCGAAAGCTCCTTCTCAAGCGTAGTAATCTCTCGTCGTGCTTTCTTGGTCTCCACATCCATGGCCTTCGTCAGTGTCTCCACCTTCTTCGACAGCATCTGCACCGCGGACAAAAGTTTGTCAGAAAAAAAAACTGGTGGCTACAACTTCGAGCAGGCAGGTGTACTTACCTCAATTGCATCATCTTTGTCCTTGAGGCTCTGTTCCCTTTCAGAGACAGTCTTCCGCAACACAACCACCTCCCGCTGCATTACGTCGTACAGTGCACCAGGGACCTTGTCATCCTCTCCAGCTCTCTTAGGGCTTGGCTGGTAGTCAATCTCTGGAATCGGCTCGTTGTCCGAGGAAGTGGTGCTCATGCGTTCAGGGTCGGAACCAAGGGGGAAAACTTGCTTGGGGAGCTTCAAGGTTGAGGATGAGAGGGAAAGCCGGCCAGGTGAGATCCTGCCAGTTATCGACGACCTTAGAGGTGTACCAACCTTGAAGCACTCCTCCAAAACTTTGAGTCTAGTCTGTGCCTTTTCCTGTGCCAATCAAACCAGAAATGCATCAGAAGGAACGAACAGGAAGACAACGATAAGACCTTAACTAAGCACACACACCTTCATCTGTGCTTCATACTTGGTCGCACGTTCAGCATGTGCCAATTTTTCCTTTAGCTTTTCCGCCTCTCCCTGCAAATTATTCCAATCATTGGTTTAGCGTCAATCATCAATCAGCCGTCCAAAGGAATGAGCACCCTGTCAAAACTTACCACCATAACACGCCGCTCCTCTAGCCACTGCTTTACGGGAATAACCTTGTCATTATCATCCTTCCATTCGTTAGCAATGGCAGAAGCAACGCGGGTTGCTGCAATCTTTGCACGAGCCAGCTCGTCCAGGGTGATCTTGTGGGTGGCCTGGGACAACAGAAAATAGAAATGAGAAAAAAATGCGTGTAGCAGCCGTGATGTCAAATAACAAGCCTACAATCTATACCTGTAACTCCTGAAGTTGTCGCTGGTAGTCCTTGATGACGCTAGTGTAGCTCTGTGCAGCTGTCACAGCTTCACTCAAAGATTCGACTTGCGATGTAAGCTTCTTCACGTCGTCCACCTTCTGCTTGTACATGCGGTCAAGCGTCTTGTTCTCGTCCTGCATATAAGCTGTGTTATCAACTGAGGTCTCAAAACGAAAAGCGAGTGATACAAAACGACGCAAGAATTTACCAACCTGTTGTGCGTTAAGCTGGCGAGTCAGCTCTGCAATCTTATTCAAACATTCATCCACTTGAGCCGCTTTTGCATTTGCAGCCTCCACAGCCTTCTCAGCGTCCAAAAGGGCAACTTCTTTAGTGCGCATGAGACGATCCTGAGCCCTGTTGTCCTCTTGCAGTCTTGACACCTGTTCAGCATCGAAATATGCAATCAGCTGTGTTAACGTAACTCGTTCTTTGGTAACAACTCGCCTTCCTCACCTCTTTCTGCGACAGCTTCAACTCAGCCTCCAGTGCAGCAATCACTTCGTCCAACGCTGGACCCTGCTTCCCTTTTTGAGCTGCTTGCAGGCGTCTAACTGTGGCTTCAGCTGCCTGTTGCGCGGCCTGAGAAGCTTTACGCAAATCGTTGGCCTTCTTCAGCTCAAGGGTCTGCAGCACACACGCCTTACAAAAGTGATAAGGGTTGAACAAGAACATCTGGCAAAAAAAGGCAATATGCCATTCCACACCTTTGCGTCGCACTGCTGTTCAGCGGTTTCTAACTTCAGCTTCAATTTTGCAACCTCGTCGGTGAGCTGAAAAGAAAGAACGCAAAATTAGTCCGTGCATAATTGCCGTGAAACAGCTCACAACATCAACGAAAATAACTTACCCCGTTTACAGCCTTTTCCATCGACTTATTTAAGAGCTTCAAGCCTTTCGCCTCTGCCGCGATCTTCTCAAGCTCCAAACTCTTAGCTGATAGCAGGAGTGTACAGTTGTTAGTCAGGAACGGATGCATGCGTTCTACGTTATCAACGAAAAAAGCGTCCGTTAGCAAACCTACCTTTCAGTTCATTCTCCAAACGATCTGTTTCCAGTTTTAGAGGGTTCGACGCATGATTTTGGCTTTGAGAATTCTTGTCATCTTGGCCTTTGGCAAACAGCGTTCTAGGTTTCACTCCGTTTGCAGATCGTAGAGGTGACTTCCTAGAAAGCAACGGGGATTGTGCTGGAGTTTTCGACACAAGAGGAGATGATGTTCTGACATAGTTTCGTGAAGGGCTTGCTTCAGCACGGCTTATTTCAGGCTTGGTTGCCATGGCGGATGGAAGTGCAAAGTGAAAACGACGACAGATTAAGTCATTCCACGTCAACTGGCTGTAATGGTTTAGTGGTCTCAGCAGGAAGCACAATTGTTGAGTGTCAATGGACGAATTTCTAAGGGATTAGAGAAGAAGATGCCGAACAAGCGAACCCCCACGAGCCACGCTCCACCACATTGGCAAGAAGCACCACCTCCACGGCGGTAGTAGGCACCCTGATCTGACACATTTGAAACAGACGGATTCCGCCAACTTCTGACAGGCACGCAACGGTCGCGCCATCCCATGACGGCCCACGTTTCCTCGTGTCTGGGGGTTTGAATTTTTTGTTGCCCTCGCGAAACTGGGTCGTGCCAGGAGAATATCGAGACCGTAGCTCTTCGCTGTCCAATGAACTACTCATCTCCGTTAGAAGATGATTGGGTTGGGAGCACGACGACGTGCATTCTGCTGGAAGTCCTGATCTGCTCAGACGTGCATTAAAAAACGGTAGGAGGTGTGAGGAGCACTAGGGATTGAGTAGTACAAGTTCATTTACATGGCATAGCATACACACACAAGCTCACAAATAACAGGTGTAAGGAAAATTCCTTTTCCTTACTTCGCGTCCCCGCTCAACGTGTACACCACTGTAGCACCACAGTCAGCACCGTTACCACTCGCAACTCTCGCATCGACAATCCTCCCGCCACCTTCGCACGTCGCACCCCGACCTCACGGCTCGGCGGGTAACCTGCGCTCCGGGCCTCCGCTTCGACATTTTCCCAATCCTCAGTCCCAGGCCCGTCACGCGACAACCACAGTCCATTACCATTACCACTGTAGTTTCGCTATATATTATTCGCTCACACCTTCGCTCATTGTACTCTTGCTTCGATAGTGCAATTCTCGCTCGTTCACTCAATTGCACTCGTAACACTTGGTAATCAGAGCCTACGATCTCTTCTCGGACCGCACCCACACCTTCGCTTCCTCACTATCTCAATTTTTGGGGGGGGTAGACGTCTCTCAGCGACACAGCACCGCCGCTCGTAGTGCTCTCTCGTAAGCACGCACGGCCACGACAGAGGCTCTCGCTGAGCTTGCCCGACACCCTCGCCATGGCCGAATTCACGCTCGCAACATTGACGCAGGAACAGCTCGACCGTCTGGTGCGCCAACTTGAAGATTCGGCGCTCGAAATTGCGACGCTCACGGCGGAACGTGACTCCGCGCGTCAGCAATCAACGGTGAACACTCCAGCGCCACCACACGCACCGACAAATGCATCTGCACAATCGGACGAGCCGATCGTCATTTCGTCCGGCACACCAACACAAAACAACAGCGTGGGACAGCGGTCAAGCGCAGCCAGTGATGGCGCCGCCCAGCCGATGCCTGGCATGGGAGGAAACAGGGTCGCACCAAGCCCGCGGGAGCCTCGCGAAGCCCGTCGGCACGTGGAATTCGCGGCGACAAGTGGCGAACAGGCCATTATGGCACCAATGCCACTCAAGCCGCAACGGCCACCCAGCTTCGACCCAAGCCAGCGTGGAGGTCCGACGGTTCAATCGTGGGTCTTCACGATGAACATCTTCTTCGACGCGAATTACGTCGAGTCGGACGCAGCGAAGATTCGGTATGCCGTTTCGCTGCTGAGGGGCCCCGCCATGGACTGGTGGCGAGTCATCGTGACGTCGCCACGCGCCTACGAGCCACCGTCGCAAGAGGAAGGGCCCACGGGTCCAGCTGTCACCTGGAGTTCATTCTGCGAGACCGCCTGGTACAGCACGTGGGATGCGTGGTGCGCAGGGCTTCGGGCGCGCTTCGAGCCAATCGCGGCTTATATTTCGACGCGTCAGAGACTGCGTACTTGGCGACAACTCGGGTCGGTTCAAGACTACACGAGTGGTTTTCTCGCATTATGCGAGCAAGTCGGTTACATGCACGAAGCAGAGCGGGTGGACCGTTACGTCGGAGGGCTGAAGCTGGACATCTCGCACGAGATTATGCTACGCGGGCTCTCGAACTTCAACGAGATTCTCGCGCTCGCCGAGAAAATCGACATTTTACGCCGTCCGAGACCGGGGTCCTACTACGGACATCGTCCTCGGGGACCGATCGAGCACGCCACCGTACATGCCGTTGCGACGAATGCAGCTGCCGCGCCGTTTAAGGGGCGCTGCTTTGCTTGCAATAGGCCGGGCCATCGCAAGAATGAATGCCCAGAGGAGCTAAGGCGCCGGGGAGCAGAGCAGGGGAGGGAGTCTCCAAGGCAGGGAAACGCCAGCAGTCAGTAGGAATCGGGCGAACTACTGACGAGACTGCCTGCTCGCCCAACCCCACCGACCCTCACCGAGTCACAATACCGATTCACGCTATCGATCGGACTCGGACGAATAAGGAGGGTACAGCGACGGATTGCCCAGTACTGATCCACGGGAAAATACAGGGAGCAGCGGTGAAGATTTTTATCAATGGAGGAGCAAGCCACAGTTTAGTTAATACCGCAACCGCACGAAAACTGCAGCTGACACTTAGCCGTTGTTTACCTGAGGTAGACGCACGCTTAGTCGACGGCACGCCACTAGCCATACGGGAAAAGGTGGAGAGAGTCAAAGTCCACTGCGGGGGGAATTTCGGGTTTACACAGGAAATGCTCGCAACGACACTGGATGGGCACGACATTTTACTGGGACGTGATTGGCTGCGATGGTATAACCCGCGAATTGACTGGACGACGTGTAGCTGCACGGTGCGAAGTAGCGGTAACTGGGTCGAGCTACCTCGCTGGCAGTCGCCCGAGTCTTCAACGGTACACGTCAATGCCGTCACCATGAAACGGGCTGTCGTTGCTGGAGCTGACGTGTACGCAGTAGACATTGCAGTAGTAGAGGGAGCAGAGCAGCCGAGTGATTTCAAGAAACTGCTGGCAGCGGTACCGCCCGAACTACAGGAACTGTTGAAACGATACCCCGGGATTTTTCCCGACGACTTACCGGAAGGGCTGCCACCTCAGCGAGCACATGACCACGGAATAGAATTAGAACCAGGGGCACAGCCAACTGTACAGCGCCAGTTCAGACTGACACAGCCCGAGCTCGACGAACTGAGGAAGCAGTTATATTACTTGTTAGAGAAGAAATTCATCCGACCGAGCTCGTCACCGTTCGCCGCACCAATACTGTTCACGCCAAAAAAAGACGGAGGGTTTCGCATGTGCATCGATTACCGAGCGCTCAACAGGGTAACAGACAAGTCGCGGTACCCCATTCCCCGCGCCGACGAACTGATCGACCAACTGCGAACAGCACGGGTTTTTTCGAAAATAGAATTACGGGGAGGTTACCATCAGATTAGGGTCGAACCATCGGATTGCGCCAAAACAGCTTTACGAACTAGATACAGGTCATTCGAATACACCGTCATGCCTTTCGGGCTGACCAACGCACCAGCGACATTTCAGATAACCATGAACGAGGCGTTTAGGCCATTTTTAGATAAATGCGTGATAGTTTACCTCGACGACATCCTCGTCTATAGTCGCGACAAGCAGCAGCACTTAGCAGATCTGGAAGCAGTATTTAAGATTTTAGACGAGCATCGACTACTGACAAAGGGTTCCAAGTGCGAGTTCTTTCAGGACAGGTTAGAGTTTTTGGGGCACGTTCTTTCGGAGGCCGGGGTCGAAATTGACCCAGAGAAGTTAGACACGGTGAAAGTCTGGCACCCCCCGACGAATATCACGGAACTGCAGAGTTTTTTGGGGTTCGTAAACTACGTGCGTCGGTTTGTCCCCGACATGGCACGGTTAACGGCGCCGCTGACGGACTTATTATGGAAGGGGGTCGCTTTTACGTGGGGGGAGAAAGAGCATGCTGCCTTCTCTGCCCTGAAAAATGTCCTTTGTTCACCGCCCGTCCTGCGCATCGCTGACCCACACCGCCCATTCGAAGTAGTTACTGACGCCAGCGACATCGCCATCGGAGCTGTACTGCTACAAGACTTCGGCAACGGCCTACAGCCCATCGCATACGAGTCACGAAAACTGCATCCGCCTGAGAAAAATTACCCGATACACGACCGCGAAATGCTTGCGATCGTGCACGCGTTCAAAGTGTGGCGCTGTTACTTGACCGGCGCAGACGTGACAGTACGGACAGACCATAAATCACTACAGTACAGCCACACCTCAACCCACGACAGATTCGTTGGCTCGACTTCCTCGAGTCAAATTTTCACTACACGGTCACCTACAAAAAGGGAGCCTCGAACATCACCGACGCACTGACCCGCCCCACTGCCCAGATCCACGCAATACTACTCGCCCAGACCAGCCCCCTACTGGTAGGCCTATTTACCCACGGGTACCAAACGGATCCATTCTTCACAGGAGGAAATTCGCAGCAGTTCGCAGCAACAAGGGGAGTCTATTACGTAAAAGCCGGGACCGACCGCATCTGGGTGCCTAGGTATACACTGCTACGGGAATTACTGTTACAGGAGGCACACGACGGAGTTACTTCGGGACATTTCGGGGTAGAGAAAACACGGCAGCAGCTGCAGCGATATTATTACTGGCCCGAGATGTTGACCGACGTACAGCGAC